ACACGTGTCGTCATGCGCTTCGCTCCACCCGTTGCCCCCATCAAGTGCGGCATTTATAATCTCCAGACGAATGTTAAATTCATGCCTTTTGTTGCCCAAATTGAGAAGCTCCTCACGGATGCCGGCATAACTAACAAAGCTGACACTTCCGGCCAGTCCGTTGGCAAGCGTTACGCCCGTGCTGATGAGCTTGGCACACCTTTCGGCGTAACTGTTGACTTCGACACCTTGATAGATCATTCTGTCACCCTCCGGGAACGGGACACCATGAGACAAGTCCGTGTTAAGATAAGCGCTCTTCCTTCGCTACTCCAGGAGCTCTGTGGCTTTTCCGACCATCCAAAACCATGGGCCTCGATCACATCTCGCTTTCAGCTTGTGTGCTGTGTCGAGGGTCCCATTCGGCACCAAGTGACCTCACGTTGCATCTTCTCCAGGCCTGCGGAGCTAATTTGATACGCTCGAAGCAAATCATGCTTGCAACACTATTTCTACAAGTTGACTTGCATGCTCGTGTATTTCGAGCAGGACAACGCAACGTTTTGTGTAGATCGTTGTACCGGCTCTCTTTTAGCGCCCCGTATCCGCATATGCAGGCCCCGTGCCACGTGCTCTGGACAGGCGGGTACGAATTCTCAATTTCATATTGTTGACTTCGGGCTTACAATGGCTGCGCGTGCTTGAATTCCGCCGCCTAGTTCAGAAATGAGAGCGCCCCAGAACCAGTAACTAGAATCAGAACCAGATCGAGCTCGCGTGACCCATTTGTCATACATCCTGCTAGGGATTATCAGCCCGCTTGATGTTCGCGGACACACGCCGAGGCTCGCGGTTGCTGCCCGCAGGCAATTCGGCGCATTTTAGTCTGGGCCCCTCCCGCTGCCCCCTCCGCTTGCCCCCTCCGGCGGGCATGAAACTAAACGGGGCTCAGTTCGCGACTTGGCGCCCCCCCACGGAGCCCCCACGGCGCCCTTAAGTGCCCCACACCAGCGGAGCCCGCGGGAAATATATCTAGAGGCCTTCAGGTAGGGGGCCAGGATGGTAAGTAGGATGGTCCTTAAACAGCAGGACCACGGGTTCCGTTCACAGTCGACCCCCCGGGTGGTGCGTTTTTAATTCGCGCTTCGGCGAGAGGGGTGCGAGGGCTGGGGTTAGGACGTCCCTCGGACTCGGACGCGTCGTGGTTCCCCGCGTTCATCGCGTGTTTGCTGGCCTCCTAACTCCACAATCGACCGTAGTTTGGCAATCTTAACGGCCTTCCGTGGCCGTTGAACTCGGCCCAAACCGGTTTGGGAGCTAGACCAAGCCTGTTTGGCGTATGTGGGCCCGTTGAACGCGCGATCCTCGTCGATTTTTGCAGTGCCACAGTGTTCATTGCGTGCTTCCTTCTGCGTGTCGCCCTTGGCCCCGGCTCGCGTCCTCGAGGCGCTGTGCGCCGCGCGTGCGCTGTGCGTGACGGTCTGCGGTGTTGCGGTTGAGGGCGTTGCAGCAGCGGTTGTGGCGGTGGTCCGGCCCTTTAGCGCAACGTGCTGGCAGCGCGACGCGACGGCGATGGCGGCGAGATGCGGGAGGCACTACATTTCGCTGTTGAACTTGCGTCGCACGCCGGTTCGAGCTGTCGTCTGCGGGGCGTCCGGCGCACGTGCCAGTGCCCTGGGACAAGGGGAAGGTCGTGCTCGACGAGAAGGGCTTCCCAATCTCTTTTCAGAGTCCAACAAGCGTGTCCTCTACAAGGACGTCGAGTCTGCGCTTCAGCGGGCATGCCAAGGCTTGCCGATCCAGCTCGACGACTTTTCATGTACGCTTCGGACAGGGCGCACAAGGAGGCTGGGGACGGGGCAGTCCTTTTATCTAGGGAATCACCGCTGTAATTTGGGGGCCGATACAATTAGGGAAATATCTCAGGATCGGCGGGGTGTTTTTTTTTCGGGCCCTATATCAAGCTAGTTCATCGTCTGCTAACAACTCTGTGCGACTCTAACAACTCGAGAGCTCGCCAAGGTTCACATGATGCACGCGCCGTCTCAGTTCGAGTGTGCCGTCCCGGAAGTAAGACGGGAGCATAAAAAAGTTGTATACGACATCATCTTGAAGAGGGCTGGGATGTCCTGGCTCGCTGTCAGCAAACGTTATTCTGAATGCCGTCGCTTTCACTCAAGACTGATGACATCTGAAGTTGTAACGCAGTATTTATCTTGGTCAGCAAAGTGTTTTTTAGATGAGTAACAATTCATAATATTAATACGTACACATTGCATATAACTTTGTGCTAAAACCGCAGGATGGAATGTCGTGTGCCAGAGTTCCCGGAGATCAAAATGCCGTTTATCTTCAATAAGTCGCTCACTTGGGAAAAGCGACGCGAGGGGCTGAATAGGCTGTTTAGTCTCATGTTCCGGGAATTTACACGTGAATGCTTTTTTAGTCCGCTCCTAATCAGCTTCTTTGGTGGGGATATTTCAAACATTCATATAAGTGAGAACCATTTAAATCAAGCTCAATTGACTGAAAGTCAACCAGGCCTATTGCCTAGTCCACAGACGTCTGATGATGCGTCTAGCAGCCCCTGTGAGGTTCATCACACCTCAACCCGCAAAGAAGTCGATGCAGTCACCCTACCCGACGACACGGCCAGCGAGATACCTTGTTCAGAACAAAAACGAGATTCAGCGTCAGCATTGGATATACCAATCGACATACAAGGTGAGTTGTGGTACCAAAACAAGCAGACCGGAGAGAGTTCAAGTACCCAATGGAAGAAAAGATTTTTTACAACGGATTCCGGTGGATCTAAAGCTCAGCTTTACATGTGGAAAGACAATTCCAAGTTTGCCCTTCTGAACTCGCTAGATCTCTCAGACTATCGGGTCGAGCACGTGGCCCAACCTACGCTGTCCATGCTGGGCTTTGGTAGCAAAACCCCAGGCTCGATGGTATTGATTGAAGCGGGGCAAGCCGGCCAGGAAATCATTTTCCGTGGGAAGTCCAATCACGAGGTATCTGAAGAAATAAAACATGATGAAATTTGCACGTGCACACTCAGGTTGCGATGTGGGTGGATGTTATTCGGGAAATTAAGCGCCGCTATTTATATCCGTTATCCAAGCATGTCCCCTCGCACACAGGGCTGGGCGGTTTGGTCTTTCACCAAGGAGATGGTAGTGGTGGCAATGGTTTGACACTCTCACCTGCAAGCGGGAATTATTCATCTGTGTTCGTTTGGCTACATGGGCTTGGAGATACACCTTTCAGTTGGTATGGTATAGCTCTGCGTGAACTGCAAGCCTACATTTAAATATAGCTATTGCCCTTCTCGCATAACAACTAGCGTGTAGGTACCATGGCCCAGTTTGCCATACGTTCGATGCCAGATACGCGCTTCGTGCTCCCGCTGGCGCCTACAAGGAAAATAACTGTATACCACGGAACTCAGATGCATGCATGGTATGACATTTTTGGCCTAGATGATAAATCTGTTCAGGATCGCACACGAATAGAGGAAAGTACGGTGAGTTGTGGGCTTGTGTTTGATTCTGTTTCTCCGGAAGGATCTGTTCAAATTTGTAGGAAAGGATAAATACCATCATCAATGAACAGGCGTTAAGCGCCGGTGTAAAGCCCTGTCGTGTTGCAATCGGTGGTTTTTCGTTGGGCGGAGCTCTTGCACTGCATGTGGTACTGCGATCGAAACACAAGCTGGCGGGGTGCGCCGTCGCGAGTGGATGGTTGCCACTCGAGATGGACTATCCAGAAAAGTTAAGTGCGGAGGCTTGCAAAACTCCTATTTGCATGTATGGACTCTCTGATCGCCGCGTTCCAGTTTATTCTTAGTCTCTTGTCCTCCTTTTTGCTGTGATCGATTTTTTCTGGTAGGTTGGCTTTGCTCGCAGAACGCACAGCAGACTGTCAGCGGATTTAAAATTAGCTGTAGCCTTCCACACATACGATGGTTTGGGCCACAGCACTTGCGCCTCAGAAATGGTAAGAATTGGCCAGTTTGTCACTGCTGCTATGTGTAGATCAAGATAGGCGGGGTGGAAGGTATACACAGACTCACTCACATTCTCATTTTCGCACGCTTGGAAGGGAATTATCATGCCTATTGTACAGAGGCCTCTGGCGGACATTACAGATCCCTCAAGAATACCAACCCCGCCGCAAATACCAGGTTATGTAACTTACATTGCGGCTGAGAGCAACATCTTTGGGCAGCATGCTCGCACAGCCTGCTGGAATACCGGTACTGCTGGGTATAGCATATCCCGCTGGCGGGATATGTTAAAACGCGCTTCAACTTAGCAAAAAGTAGCAGCCGGCATCCTAACTAAGAATACATGCTATCCTGGGAACTAAGAGGGATACTCCCCCATGCTAGCATACATAGTACTGTTGCAGTTCATATTGCAGTCCAAGTTGTACCCCGCTGTCTGATTGAAGAGATACCTTGGCCCCTCAAGCAAAGAGTCAATACCAGTATCGACAAACGGTTTAGTTCGCTGTTTGTCTTCACCATTAGAGAGATAGAGAGTTTTGTATCTCCCTAGTGGCTCGCTGGTACAAAGCGACCCAATATCCTTTCCCTTCAAGTTCCTTAATACTTTCTAACCCTGTTATAGTCGCGTCCCGCATTGTAATAGACGGAAAGTCTTCCTGGACCTAGTGAGGCGGACCCTCTGCCCGTTTGTCCAGTACAGTAGTCCACCGGTTCTATGTAGCAAACTGCCCCCATTATCATGATCTGGCGGCCTAAACTGAATCTTCTATTATTGTGCGCCTGAGCGCACCCCAGGAAAATCTTCTCCTAACCAGCCGGCCCTATTCTTTTCCTGGGGGCCCTAGACTAGGCTAGTCCCCGAGCTGGGTGGAGCCCATGTTGAAGGCACACCCAGCTCCTAATCCAACCATATCATTCTATATCTTGTATCATTCCTTAATATCTGGATGTAATGGAGCTGGCATCCGCCGTGCCATAATCTCGGCACGCCATCCCAGGTCATCGCACCCTCGCAAGCGCATGGGGACGTCCTGCCGTACATACACTCACTTTTATACACGTGCCCATCGCGCGGGTGCGAGGCCCCGACCGGCGAGCGCTCGAACTCACAGGAAGCCGCGATGAATTGTTCTTTGCCCCCATTTGGACTCGCGTTCTTTAAAAGAGCTAACGACTGCTCTTAAACATCTGACGGCCCAAAGTTTATCATGGATCAGCATGTGTATTTTGAGTGCGTCTCAAATCCACCGCACGTGGTGAGCAGCCGCGCGCCGCAGCTATTTCTGAACCCAAGAGATATGGGAGCTCACGGATATGTTGCTGGAGAATTAATGTCCATTGAACAGTGTGATTCCCTGGGACGCCCAAGACGGTCGTCGACCCTAGGCTATTTGCCAGTTGTCTTGCCTGCAGTGGTGTGGCCATTAGTCTCGCTAACTCGGAGACGGGCCGCTCACAATGTGTCCTTGCCAACTTTACGTGAAACCAATCATAGATATCTGACGGCGCAAACCGTGTTCAGCATAGGGCAGTCTCATGCGCCTCTGATAGCGTCTCTATCTCTCTACGTATCATCGTGCTTTTACAACCTTGAAGCGCAAGTAGCTGCGCCGCATTTGAGTCGTGTCGTGTCTCACCTTAAGACTGGAATCGTTGGTAGTGTTGTAGCTGTGGGAACATACCTCAAGTGTCGCCTATCATGTGGTCAAGAGTTCCACGCTCAAATTGCTTCTTTAAGAATCCTGCCAGGCGGATCAGTATTTGATAAAGAAAGTTGTACACCACACTCCACCGTCCCAGAGATCGGCAGAGTACATGCTGGAACATCTTTAATTGTCACGGTGTTTCCAGACCCTTCCAGACACGCCAAGCTTACACCGTCTT